TCATCGTCTCCTATGCTTCTTCTTGTCTTGTGTCTGACATGTCGTCTTCTCCCATTGTGCTTGCTGCGCTTTACGTCCTCCTCGCCTTTCTTCGTTCTCCGATGGTTTTCTCTTATTTATCTCTCTACTTCCTCTCTCTCTCTCTCTCTTCTTCTCTTTCTGCGAGTTTCCTTTGTCTTGTGTCCGTTGTGGAGGAGAGCCATTCATCTCGTCTTCCCTTCAATACTCGCTCGCCCTTTTCTCTCTTTTTTCTCCATCTTCTCTCCTATCTTTTTTCCCCCCCTTCTGACGTACATATCCACTTTTTATCCTTTTCGTTCTTGTATTTGTTGTTTCTTTTCTCCCCCTACCCCCTCGCCCCATCCCTCCTCCCCTTTTTTTTTCCCTCTCGCCCCCTCTGCCAGAGAGAGAGAGAGAGAGAGAGAGAGAGAGAGAGAGAGACAGGGGGGTTAATAAAGAGAGAACACGGAAGTGGGGGGAGAGAGAGGGAGGAGAGGGGGTTGGGGGGGGAGAGACAGAGAGGATATACATTAATTTTTACTTCCAGCTCACGAGGAAAGCTCTCTGCCATAAACACGATTCCAAATTAATTATGGGCCAAGCCGACAAGTCTGCTGTGTATGTATTGTTGTAAAGTTGTAACAAGAGACAAAGGCAATCAGCCATTTCGCCAGTGGACATGGAGGTTTCATGAGAACTGGCTCTCGTCTGCGTGATCTCTCATTGTGTCGTCTGACACTGGCAGACGTTTATGCGTGTCTCCTCAAGACCTGGGAAAAATCCGGATAATCTATTAGGATAACCGGATTCCGGATAATCTATAAGGATAATCGGATAATTCTTAATGAAACATTTTCCGAATTCAGACTCTTAACCCTGTCCGTACGCCCCGGGGTAATGTTGTACCCCAGCTGTTGTATTTTTCACATTTTAGAATACTTCTAATACGAAGATCTCTTTGAAACTTTCAGTATTTCTCAAAAAATCATTTTGACAGACTGCTAAGGAAAGCGTACGGATCGGGTTAACGAGTAACTTTCCTCTTTGGTGGCACAGAGTTCCTCACGTCGTATGGATACGATAGTAAAACACGACGTACGGACAGGGTTAACTCTCTTTCCTGACCCGTTTACCGAAGTGGGTGCACCCATAATTAGTTGAAGTAGTGGTAACCCATTGGCCGAAGATATTCCTATCGTAAAGTATTATTTGCCAAAGAGGTGCACTAACAACATAATAATATTATCCGGATTTTGCTACAGTGACTTATTGCCCAGTCCTAGTTTCCTCAAGACAGGACTCGGAGCCACACGTGTGATCATGGCCGCTTCTTACATTTGTGTCACGACGCGGTAGAGTCAGGCGCTCGTCATCAATTTTTGGGCAAGTGAAGTAAGTTAATGGTATCATCAAAAAGCTCTTTCATTTGCCTTGCTTTCAAGGGGGAAAAAATACCCATCTACCTTGAATAGAAATCAAGATATTTGTGATTGAAGGAGGGGGTCGGTTGGTTTCAGTAATAAAATTCGCAAGAAAATGGCCGCCAAAGTTTGATAACTTCAATAGCTTGAGAGTCCTTTGAAACTGAAAAATCACATTATATCGTGTGCCTTTGATCATATTTTTGGTCAAATGTACATGGAATGGTGTTTTTATAATGGATATAAAAGGTGTTGACCAAAATATATATATATATATTTAAAAAATCGCCAAACTGGAGGGAAAATGCCGTTAGATATCTTCGATTTCATTATTTTGACGAGCGCCTGATTTCACCACGACACCACACATTTCCAAAGTGCACAACAGCTGTCGGTACCTGCTAGAACATTCCCATAAAAGGCTGGCGACAGTCTCTATTCCACAAAAGTGTGAATCACCGTTGGTCGTAACTACTGTTGGTCGTAATCACTGTAGGTCGTTAAGTACTGTTGGTCGTAAGTACTGTTGGTCGTAAACGCTATTGGTAGTAAGAGATATTTCCGTATTACAGACTTTAACATAAAGTAAAGGACCACTTGCAAACACTTTGGGTGGTTTTTTTGAGTCGACTTGCTCGTGGGCATTCTTGGACTGATACAGTGTCTTGATGGCGCTGCCTCAGGCGGATAATGACAGAATGTGACACTGCAAGCTTTCTGGCAATTTCTCGGGCTCCAACTCCATCCTGCAGCAATGCCATAGCCCTGGTACGATCAAAGTCTCTCAGCTTTCGCTTTGGTGGCATGTTGATGCGATACTAGATTTTGAGCAAACGGCGGCTTATATTGCCACCTAAGTGAGCACAGTTCGAGACCGTACGTCCGTTTATGACGTGCACCA